CAGTAAAGAACCCTAAATTTAGAAAGGGCAGGCGAAGTCTAGAAGAGCTCCGTGGGGCAGGACTTCTCACCATGAGCTGATGGAGCTTCACAAAGGTATACAAAGAAGGAGATGAAGGGAATTTCCAAACAGGAAGCCTTCAGAGCGTTTCAGCCCGAAACAGATCTTTAACAAACCACAAGACAGAGTTGAGTCCTCTCTCCTCAGTGCAGAAATCTTTCTGAATTTTTCTATCAATAAAAACTTAGGTTACCCAAATGTTAGGATCAACTTAATGCATAAGGAACATACCGTCTATTCTTACATCTATTCCCTTGCATGTCTGTCATGTATATAAACTTTGCTTCTTGAATAATGGATACTGCATAAAATTGCATTCTGGACATCATCTTGCTTATGATGGTCTTACCCCCACCACAGAACTGCCCCCACACCATCCGTGTGACCACTATTGTCACACCTCCTAACTGCTCTTAAATTTATAGGTCTGGCTGCAAGACCAGCTGTGACCAAGAACAGCTTTTCCTAATCGCCTGGTCACCATAGCTTTTGCTTTTCCACTGTGTAAACTTTATCTATGCAACAGATTCCATGAGACCGTTGTGAATGCTTCAACGTATTCAAAACATATAACTGCCACAAATTCAACTACTAAAACTAAAGCTGGTGCATTGTAACTGCCAAGTAGAACTGGCACGTCCCTTTGTCAGACTTCAGGAGAGTGTGCCATACAGCCCTCAGAAAACACAATTCATCCAGAAGCACTCTTGTCACTTGCTCTGATATTAAACCAGAGAAAGTGACATTAATTAAAGAAGTGACATGAGCCAACAAAGGCAATGAAATTCTAGGCTTTGGCTTATGTGCAGACCTCAATCCAACCTGTTCTGCCTAGGTATTGTGGCTATTTCTGAAGAGTAGCTGGGGTGGCTACTTTTAACCCTCCTCTTGCCTTTCTAAAGCATCATTCCCAAGCCACTAACATTTCCTGTCCAGCATTGGGCCAGTTCGTTTGTATCCTCTAGTCCTTGCTTCCCAAGATAGTGGTGTGGTGGCGTGCATCACTGCACGTGGTAACTGTGTGAGATGTACAGCCTGAGGTAGATGAGACTTGGTCTAACAAAAAAGGCAACAGCTGCTGAAGAGCAAAGAACCTAGGCTTGCTGGATGGAAGGAGGAAGTCTGTTGCTAGGGAGAATTCTGTATAACCTTATGAAATTTCTGTCAGTCTCAAGACAGTCAGGAGAGTGTCCCTGACTTTGCCCTTCATTCCTGTAGCATATTTCCTGTCGTTTCATGTGAGTACTGTTTGCATTGACTTTTCAAGTCCTTCTTGCTACACATCACCATCTTCACGTCACACCATGTTATGAACTCTCAGAGTGCAGAAATATGGCTTCACACATCACAGTTTTTCAAAAATGATTTGTAAATTAGTTGTACAACTAGTCTGTTCTGGAAAAATACTTTTCAGGGAAATGGGTCATAGGAGACTAAATTTTGTACTCTTTTTGTATACTATGTGGTCTTAGTGTCAGACTTTGTAATTTCAGATTTACAGAAAATATTTTGTGTATTTTAGCAAGTTTGGGGTAAGAGCAGCATTTGTTTATTTTTTCAAATCTATCTCTAAAATGCAAGAAGCCATGTAGTTGATCCATAGATTGTAGAGTTTATAGGAAAGGGTCTGCTCTGCTA